GCTTGCATGCGTCGGCTGCTGCTGGCATCCGCCACCCCAGGTCACCGCTCTGTGTGCAGCTGCTGGGCCAGTTTCAAAAATCCGGAATTTCCAAATTTCTGGCAGACGCTCGGTCCTGAACATGCCAGATTCATTAGTTTATACTGTATAAGCCCAAAGGCTCACATCCAGACATAGGTCTATACATTATTAATGGTTACAACATGGATTTTAAAAATAGTTTAAGAGGGGACCTACCTCCACATTGCAGTCCTCTAAATCTCACACAAGAGAAATCATCACATTCACAGTATGGCCCATAAATATTTCCATACATTGAGAGGTGACACATACACTGCCCGCAGAAGCAGTCACCTCTCCCGCTACAGGAGGCTTGCTCTGGAGAGCCTTTGCACAAGCTTGTGCTCAGGGAGTTTTCATCACATTCACAGCGAGGACCTATGTAGCCAGGGTTGCAGATGCACATCCCACACTCATAAGAACCCTTCCCTTCACTGCATTTGGAACTGTTCATCTCAGCCTCCTTCTGACAGTTACAGCTGCATTCTGGCTGAATATCAATTTCCAAGGCATCACTCAGACCCACCGGCTTTATTACAATATGTCTCCTATTTTTTTCGCAGGTAGGTAGACTCACAGTCATATTGAAGGAGACCTGAAAAAGAAAATATATGAACTGTTTGAAGCTGTAGCATATGAAATACTGGAAATACTTTGGGCAAAACAGGACAAGAATTGATTAGGTATGATCTAATACTTTTTGATTTAGAGGGAAATTATTAAATAAAGGAAGCAATGTTTCTACTTTGGGGTTCTAAAATCTCTCTCAACATTACTTGAATGAATGTCATTTGATACTCTGTTATCTACTTACTGTATCTCCTACTTTTATATGAGAACATTTCCTCTGGTTTGAAAAAGTTGTACCATTGTTACAGAGAGCTGTAAAAGAGAGATTGAGTCCTTCTGTGTCACCAAATGCCTCCAGCTCCACTTCAGATCGTAGCTCCTTAAAGAAAAGAATGTGATGGGTAAGATGGCCAAACACTGCTGTCGTTTTGCATCTGTAGCATATATTGAAATGCTTCCCTTTAGCTTTGCAGTAAACAGTTCATCATTTGGGTACTTTTCTTTTGCAAGAAAAATTAGAAATTGAGCAAAGAACTGCAAACAGCTTTGGACTTTAGGCAAGAATCAGCTGCAGCATCAGATCAATATCTGATATTTCTTGTGTTTGCCTAGGCATGGATTCAGTGCTCCAAGTCAGGGCTGTACAACTGGTGGCTTGGGGACTACATCTGGCCTGTGAGGGATTGAGTTCTGGACCCTGGGCTCCTACATCACCACCACTCTCCCCATTGCTTCATGCTCCCTCTCACTCCTCCAGCTTTTGCTGCCTACCCCTGTCCCAGCGGATGAGGCAGTGCAGCACAGTACAGCTGGGGGAGCTCAGGGTGAGCCTGGGGACATGCAGGGAAGCAATGTGGGGAGTGGGGGGAGGGCCTGTGAGGATGCCTTGGGCAGCAGTGGGATGGGCAGTACAGCAGAAAGCAAGGGTCTGTGTGGGCATGAGCATGTGGTGCAGCAGTGAGGGGGCCAGGCACACAGTGTGGGGCTGGGGGGGCGGTATGGCATGAGCACATGGTACTACAGTGTGTATGGAGGGAAAAGCTTGCACAAGTGCATGGTGCAGTGGGGGAGGAAAGAGGGAGGCTCCACAGGGCACATGGCCCCCACTGTTGTGGCCCACAGGTGCCTGGCCTCCAGCCACTTAGAAGTGGGACAGCCCTGCTGTAAGTTGTCTTTCTGATTATTCTGCTCCATGCTGTAGATTTCACTCTGGGATCAAGTTGTAGCTTTTCCTGTTTAGCACATTGTTTCCCTGTTTACCTATATTCAGAGGGCCAAATCTTAGAGTCTTTAGGTCTGACAGTCACTGTTTTCCATTTTGCTTGAATAAGAACTGTGAGAGCACTCCAGGATTTGGCCCCATTTTTCCAATGCAAGAGCCAGACTCTAATCTTCTGACTCTGGCTCAGTCAGTTGTATAAATTAAGTCTCTCCTGCTTCCTGTTTTCTTTTTTGCTCCAGATGGAAACTCTTTTGGTTTGTGAACTCCTGCTTATTTTTGAAAATGCATTCAATAATGCCAGGAATCGAGTTCTTATTTCTTAAGTGAAATAAGCTGTTCAAGTTACTCCGTGTGTTCCCTTGTGCTTAGGTTGTTATATTAAATTCTTCTTTAAAATATTTCTATATAGAGCTTTCAACAATGCACTTAGGATTTGATCCAAAATCTGCTGAAGTTTATAGGAAAGTTTCAACTGACTCAAATGGACTTTGATCCATGTAATGGGACTTTTTCAAAAGTGCCTAGGAGATTCAGGAGCACAAGTCTCACTAACTTTGAATGTGATCTGCACTCCTACATACCTTAGTCACTTTGGAAAATGTTTACCACATCTCAGTGAACCTGGGTGTGATTCTTCAAACATTACTCAGGTGAGTCATCCTAAAAGAGTTAGTGGAATGACTCATCTCAGTAAAGGGTCTGCAGGACTAGATCCGGAAGACACCAGCTGATACTGAGGGGGTGGACTTGTGTGTGTGTGTGCGCGCACGCCACTGAAGCTAACATACACACTTCAATGGCTAACATACCAGCCCCATTTGTATACATACCAGACTCCTAAGAGGACTGTTTCTACATCAGTTATTCCTACTTATTTTAATTGCATCTTTTCACTTGAAACCTTGATGAAAAACCTTGATTAATTAAGGGGCAGCAATACACATGCTAGCTACAACATCATTTAGGCTCAAATCCACTCTCAAGCACACAGTCTGAGCAGCAAAGCTGTATACTAGGACTCAAACTGGATGTGGTGTAGTCCTCTCCTTGTTGTTTGTGCAACTGCTTTGTGGATACTACTCTGCCACCTGCACCTCCTTCTGAAACAGAAATTCCAGATTCCAGTTTTAAGAAAGCTTAAAGAAGCCCTTCTCAGAAAATGGTTCTTTAGCTTCAGAGAAGTGCAGTCTTCATGTAGCACCCCAAATCCTGCCCCCTCTGTTTGGGGGAGCCCTCTATTACTGGAAGGGTTCCATGTCCTTCTAGAGGAGGGGGAAAGGACTTGTCTCTGGGAGTAAGTTAAAATACTGCCAACTTCTGGTACTTAAGCATCACGAGTCCAATCCTAGGTCAGTACAAGATTGGCTTTAAAATATAAAATTTTAAAATATAATAAATGTTGGCATTGTTTTATATTTGTCTTCTGGCTGGAATGTTCAGGAGTTACATTTTCAAAGTTTTCTCTGTAGGCATGAAGGCTGGAAGCTAACTTAAAAAAACCAACAATCAAAAATCCTGAGAATGTCAGGCAGTAGCCCGAGCACAGCACCTGAGACGCCAACAAAAGCACCAAATATTGCAAAGATGCATAGTACTCCAGAAAATTCACAATACTGAAGTTATAGGATATATCACCAAGTAGTTTGGTTTTTCAATTCTCAATTTTGCCAGCTGGAATCAGACAAAGGCTGTAACTGAGAATCCATGCACTGAAATCTCAACTATTTAACATTAAAATATAATTGTAAGCACAGTTGAATTGTTGTTGTGCATAAACTCATTAGCCTTCTGAGTAAGTGTTTCCAATGAGTTTTTATCATCACATCTCCGTTTTCTATATGGTAAGTGTTTTCTGATTGAAATACATATCACCTTCAGCTAAAAGAGGATCCAGACTCTGGCTTAAGTTGCTCTGCTACATCTGAATGAACCACAGGATTTCAAGTGAAGACTCTTATCTAATGAGTTGCATGGACAGAACTGAGAACAGGTTGGTTCTCATTTCAGTGAGGTTTTACTTCAAAGTTCTCCTAAATCAAAGGATGCAAAGCAGGGTTGCAAATCTGAGGACTTGCCAGTCTCTTTAGTATCCACCCTCCTATTTGAAATATTATTCCTTCAGTCTTGATTTCCCTGTCATCCAAAAAGGATTTGAAGGCTGAAAAAAGTGGAATCGTCTGTGTTTTTAAGAACACTGAAATAAGTTGGTATCAGTGGGCTTGATTTCAGTTCTAATGAAATTTACACTGATCCTTTGTTACAAAGCTGGTACAGAATTTAACCTATGTTAAAGCAGGCAGCAACATGCTTACTGGAGTCTATGAATCATACTTGGGAGAGCATGAGACCATCTTCTAACAAATATTTTGACAGTACAGAGAGCTTCCTAATTTGCTTACTTCCCCTGATGATTTTAGATAACAATGTATCTGTAAATGACATGAATAAACCTTAAGTTCTGTATAGCATCTCTTTCATAAAAGGAACTCAAAGCACTTGAAAAAGATTAACAGATTAATTTAACACAATACTTTGAAGTGGGTAAATATAATTATTATTACTACAAGTAGTACTACCACTATCAGCACCATTTACAGACTGAGAAACTGACACCCAGCACCGAAGGGAACAGAGAAAGTCTGTGGCAATGGTAGAACTAGATCTTAGATTTTCTGAGTTTCAGTCATGATTTTAAGCACAGAAGTCATAAGCAAAGTCTACCAGAGCTAACCCATAGGATTATGGAAAATGTTGAAAGGAATCAGGTTATTTAGTCTGGGGAAGAGAAGAGTAAGCAGGGATTCAGTAACAGTCTTGAAATACCTAAGCATGGTTATAAAGTGGCTGATGACCAAGAGTAATGGTTGTCAATTGTAACAAGGAAAATTTAGGTTGAATATTAGGAAGATTGTTCTCACTGTGAGGGTGAGCATTCAAACACATGACTAGGAAGGTTGTAGAAACTGCATCTTTGGAAGTTTTTAAGAGTTAGACAAATACTTGTCTGGAACAGTTTATACATGGATGATCTTAACTTGAGCAGGAGACTGGACTAGATAACCCTCTGATACCTTTTCAAGCCGTGCTTCTTCATGATTTTAAGGCACACCTGTTTCTGCAGCCAGTACTCACAAAGTGAGTCACATCTATTGTAAAACTCCTCAGCCTGAGGGACCACTTACCCATTTACAGATGGGCTGACTACAGGCATGTAATAAGGTGCTTTGTCTCCTTAAGAAGAGACAGTCCTGTTAAGGAAATCAGCTGTGGGGCATTCTGCTAATGAGGGAGTCTCCCACTGGAAGCTTTAAAAGCTCCCAGATGTGAGAGCAAGCTGCTAAGAGACAATTTGTGTGAGGATGATTGGAGTCTGGTAAAACACCTTCTGGAGAGAAGGAGCCTAGGAAGGTTGCTCTGATTTGGATAAGTTGTCAGATAAAGGAAAAGACATGACAGGAGCAAAAGTTTGAATAAATGGAGTGACTAAAGGGCCTTAAGGCCATCAGAAGGCTGGGAGCCCATTATAGGGCAGTCTTCAGTACAAGTCTGAAATGGGGCTTTAAGTTCTGTCTTTAGATAATACCTAAGGGTACACAAGTTGCTTTAAAGAGCTTTATTGCTGTGGCTTAACAGAAGTGCTTGGCTTTACAGCACTTTAAAAATGAGCACAGCACTTTAAACAAACCCTTGTTAAATGAAGTATTACACTTGAAACTCTGTATTTTACAGCACATTTGCAACCTACAGCACTTTAAACAACTTCTGTATGCTGGTCAAATTTCCAGAGAAATGAAGAAGCCCCAAGGGGCTATGGAGCTCTCTGCCTCCTAGCCTGAAAAGTATAGTGAGGCTCAGAGGCCACCCCCCCACCCCAAATACTGCACTTCTGTCATGTTTAAGAGTGCTGTAACTTTATAGTGTTATAAAAAGTGCTTTAAATTACAGCACTGTAAGATGTACAGAGATCACTATTGTAACACCCTAACTGTCCTACCACCACACTTCAGCAATTGTAACCACAAGTCTATCCTGCCATTTCATCTTTCTAGCTTACTGAATATAAGGAAATGGGACAGCTTTTAAACTCAACAATACATTACTTTATTTTTATTTAAATAATTCATAATTTAAGGAGCTCAAAACATGAGGTGGTTGGG